CTAGGTTGTCCATTTTATCTGCATATAATTGTTTATAATAGTCTCAACATCTTTGTATTTCTGAGGTTATCTTTGTAAAGTCTTCCAATTTTATGTATTTGAGCCCTCTTTTTTTCTTGATAAGTCTAGCTAAAGGTTTGTCAATTTACGTTTGTATTTTGGAAGAACCAGTTCTTAGTTCCTTTGATCTTTTCTCTTTTTAGTCTCTGTTTCATTTATATCTTCCCTTATTATTTTTTCCTCCTTCTACCCTTGGGCTTTGTTTTATTCTTCTTTTTCTAGTTCCTTGAGGTATGAAATCAGATAGTTTGAGATTTTTTTGTTACTTAAGGTAGGCCTATATTACTATGAACCTCTCTCAGAACTTTTTTTGCTGCATCACATACATTTTGGTGTATTGTGTTTGCATTTTTGTTTATCTCAGTATATTTTTTCTCTTATGATTTTTTATTAACCCATTGGTTATTCACAGTTGTATGTTTAATCTCCACACTTTTGTGAATTTTCAGTTTTATTCTTGTAATTGGTTTCTAGTTTCATATCATAGTGGTTGGAAAAGATGCTTGATATGAATTGTTCTCTTAAATTTATTAAGAATTGTTTTTTGTAACCTTACATATGATCTGTCCTGGAGAATGTTTCATGTGTACTTGAGAAGAATGTGTTTTCTGCTGCTTTTGGATGGAATGCTCTGTATATATCTATCTAGTAAGTCCATCTGGTCTAATGTATCATTCAAGGCCAGTGTTTAATGATTTTCTGTCTGGATGATCTATTCATTGAATGTCCTCCTGTAATGTCCTGCTATTATTATATTGCATGTGTTGTTTTGTCTCTCTTTTCCTTTAGATCTGTTAGTAATTTGCTTTATATATTTAGATGCTTGTGTGTTGGGTGCATAAACATTTGTAAATATTATGTCCTCTTGTTGGATTGACCCATTTATCATTATGTAATGCCCTCCTTTGTCTTTTTTTAGTGTCTTTATTTTAAAGTCTATCCTGTCTCATGTATTATTACGCCAGTTTTCTTTTGGTTATTTGTACATGGGAGATATTTTTATACCTTCACTTTCAGTCTGTGTGTCCTTACATCTGAAGTGAATCTCTTGTAGACAGCATAAAATTGGGTTTTGTTTTTTTATTCCAACATTCAGCCACTCTTAAATCTTTTGATTAAAGAATTCAGTCCATTTACATTCAAAGTAATTATTGATATTTATATACTTACTGCCATTTTGCTAATTGTTTTTAGTTCTTACTGTTATTCCATGAAGTTCTGATTTTCAGGTTTATGTATTAATAATTTATCAGGGAATGTACTGTTTAAGTTTGGGACTTTTTGTTCTTTCTCTAGGACAAATTGCTGGGTCAAAGCGTAGGCATTTTTTTTTTTTTTTTTAAAGTAAACTGTACCCCTGGTGTGGGGCTTGAACTTGAAACTCTAAGATCGAGTCACATGCTCTACCAACTGAGCCCGCCAGGTGTCCAAAACAACCATATTTTTAAAGACCTTTGATATGCACTGCCAGATTGTTCCAGAAAATTTTATCAATTTATGCCCCATCCATGTTGTCTGAAATGGTTTCTCTATCCACACTCTGCAAATATTGCATGTTCCTTTTCTAAAGGAACATGTTTGCCACCGTTAGGTTTTGACAATTAATCGGGTTTGTTTTCTTAGATTCTGGTGTCCCATAGATGATGGGCTAAGTCAACACTAACCTTTTTATCTTTTTGGTTTTGCTAAATAGGAGTGACCACATATACTGCATCCACAGAGAAATCTTCCTCTTCCTGAAAGCACTAAGTTAAAGATGATTAGGCTGGAAAAAGAAATGGTGGTCTCAGGTAGCCAATCCATTGAGCCTCTCTTGGTAAATTTAGATTGGTTTTAACAACAACTTATGTTATTCTTTATAAGTTTTTAGCACATCTCTTAATCTGTGAGAGTAAATGACAGTCTGGGCAGACAGAACATTCTCTTTAATTTTCTTCCAGTAACTTTCACTTATTGAGAACTTTATACCAGAGAGTGTACTAACTGCTTTAATATCTCACTTAATCCTCACACCAAACCTCTGCTGTAATTTCTTTTATGGGCCCCATTTTTATAAATGATTAGAACATTATCCCAGTCATTCAGTGAACGGTGGTGAAGGAGCAGCTAGACCCATGTCCTCTGACTCCTGCTACATATGGGGCTGCCTCTGCCCCATCATACCCATGGTATCACTTTTCTCCAACTCTGTTCCCTTTCCATCTTTCCACATTCATATCCAAAATTCATATCCATAATTCATATCTATCCTTTAGGGACAGTGGACCCTAGGAAAAAAATCAGTACCCAAGAAAAAAAAGTACAGTTTGTATTTGAAGTCTCTACACCAAGGCCTAGCTCTACAGCGTGTGGGTGAGTACCTGCCATGCCATTACCAAATAGTCTTTGGCATTTGTGTGTATGTTTGGAGAAACTTTAGTTGAAGTCAAATCTTTATTAGGTTAACTATTAGGTTAAGAAAGTAGGCTTTTTAGCTAATAAGAGCTGCTTATCCTGGATGAGAGACTATTCATAGTAAAATAACAACTATCCAGTCATCGGCTGTTTAACCACAGTCATATATCCTAACCTGATGACTTTTTAGTGGCACTTCCAGGACTGAGTGAGTTGAGACAGGGTGTCACCATCAAAGGTAGGAAAAATGAGGTCTTTCCCTGAAAGGGAGGAAAGAGCACTTTTCATCCGTAGTCATCTTATGGTGTGTGGTCTTTTTGGAGTTGTACATAGAAGTTATTCTAAGATTTAACTACGCAGACTTCATGGGTGTTGCCCCAGGATTTGTATTGGCCTTTTCATCATGTTCAGTTTAGGTACAAGGAAAACTACCACTATTTGAGAGTATTTGAGACTTGGGTGTCAGACCTGTCTTTGAGCCTTGACTTTGCCACTTAATAGCTTTTTAATCTAGGGCAAATTCAGTTTAGTTTGGTTACTTGAGTAGCAACTTATCTGTAACATGAGGATAGTTTTCTGTTCATTGGGTTTTGATGAATAAATGAATTAAGTGCTTAACACAGTATGTGCACAGAGAAAGTACACAGTAATTAAGAACTCTTTCTGTCGTGCATACTGATGACTTCCACATCTCTTTGTCTAACCTGGTCTTCACTCCACAGTATATTCTAGGTTGCACACATGACTTCTGGCAGCCTAAGCTGAACCTTTCCACCTTTATACTGTTTCTGCTCCTCTTTTATTTCTGATGTTGGGGTGATATCACTTTCCACCCAGTCTGCCCAAGCTAAATACCTGGGAATCATTCTGGATTCTTTGTTCTCTTTTCCTTCCCTCCCACCCTCAATAACACCCCTCCCCCGCAGCCCCCACCCCCACTTCTAACTAGTCACCAAACTGTCCATTCTTTTTCCACAGCATCTCTAATTCATCTCATGGTCTTCACCATCGCCTGCCTTAATTCAGGCTTTCTTCTCGAGAATAGGTCATAGTGGTTTCCCCCAGAGGCACTTGGTTGACTGCCTGCCTTGTAGGTGTTAGATTTTTCAGGATATCTGACTATAAAAAGCCAAAAGGCTGCTAATATCTACATGTTACTTGATTGGCTTTTCCTTCCCATGTGGTTTTACTGCTTCCTTTTACTTATTTATGCTTTTATCGACATCCTGTGTACCTCAGCTTCAAGACTTATCTTGCAGAACTCTCCATGGTGAGGAAGAAGCTGCAAGAAGATAGTAGTAGGGACAGCAGCTAGATGGCCTCAGCCCAGTGATTAAGCTGCTTGATAGGGACTCTGAAAGAAAAGACAATTACTGGTTCTTGCTGCTTTGAAGAGTAGGCTACATGTTGGTTTTGATGCCATTATTCTTTAGTGTTTGAGAGTTGAAAAGGTAGTGAATTAATGGAAATTACTGAAATAACCCACTTAAAACACATGTCCAATTTTTCAATAGTCAAGACTGTTCTTGTCACTGTCAAGTCGTCGTATGTTAAGGAAAGGCTAAGGAGAGCTAGGAGTAGGTTGAATGCAGTGTTCCAGGGAAGATGAATTATGGCAAGTTGATCCAGTAGCAGAATTGCCAAGTAAAAACTAGGGATGAAATGGGAAGCACATGTGAGGGTTCTCTAGCCTCTGCTGACATGTAAAGCCAGGGTCCCTTCTCTTTTGGTTTAAAGATGTGATAGCTGAAAAAGCAAGTGAAAATTTCCGATTTTGCTTGGACTACCTATATCGTAATTCTTTCAGAAACTTTTTCTTTTGTGATTTGGATAATTTTGTCAGCTTTTAGTTTTTGTTTCTATTAGAAACTTAGCAGGTGTCAGGTGGCTTTAGAAGACAAAGCATAAAAGTAGTTTCAGCGGTTACAGGCCCTTGAAAGAGGCATTTTTGTTTATTCTGTCAGGTAAGTGCTTCATGGGATACGCAGAGTTGAACAAGAGTTTACGAGAAGTGTTATTAGTGTTCTCTTTGAGTGTCTGAAGTAGAATTCTGCTTCTCAATGAGGCTTTCTATGGGGAGGATTACCTTCAGGAAAGGTGGATGTGCACCTGCCCCACAGTTGGCTTTTAATTTTGGTATTTTTGTTGGAAGAGATTGTGCCCTTAGCTGACTTTTTTCTTTGTAATTATTATACATATTCCTTTGAAAAGTGTTTTTAATACTTGGAAACATTTTCATAGTTCTTAAATTTACTGCAAAATTAAGATATTTGTATAATATTTGAGAGTTCCTCCCTCCCCATTTTATGTTGATGCTTCTCCAAGAAAGAGGTAATCTCGAAGTTAAAGCTAACCTTATGATATATAGATACAGATATATAACTAATGAATGGAATAGTTAAAATACCTGAACATTTCCCCCATTGTTAATATTATATATAAGTTAGTGTTTAACATAAAAGTTGACTTGTAGGTGTTTTCTTGAGAAAATTATTGGTTTCAACAGAATTACATTATACTTAGACTTGAAAAAATCAGAATGAGTTTCCAAAATCTGGTTTAATTCCAATCTGGGGAGGGGACGGCATTGTGAAATACATATGCACAGGAACCTAATCAATGCTAGACAAACAATGTATTTAGTTTACAATATAATAGGATAACCATAAATTTGAAGGCTCAAATTGAGTCCATTAGCGGTCAATACAGTTTTCTATTTGGCTCAAGTGGCTACTGAATATCAAGTGATGCTGAGTTCCTCCAAAGCACCTAATGACCCCCTGGCCTTGGAAGGAGTTTCACCACAGTCTCAGAAGAAATCCCAGTCATAAAGGCCTTTAACTCTTTTGGCCCTTGGGAGTCATTGCTGCCCAAATATAAATGCAGGCCAGGGATTTCTAGTGGCCACAAGTTATTGCACAGAGAGGTCTGTTCTAAGCCAGACTCTTATGGCGAAGAAGGTGTGAGATCAGCCCTTAAATAGTGGTCTAGCATTAACGTGGTCTATCAAAGCATGTTAAGAAAAAGCTCCTTAGTGATTATGTACCAGCTACTAGTTTTGCACTAACAGAAAAGGCAATGTGGCAGCTTCACATTTCACATGAAAGACTAGCATTAACTGGGCCTGGTGCTGGCTTAATTTTCACATAAATCTAGTGATTATTTTAATTTAGACCCAGGAATCAATGATTTCATACCAGTCTTGTCTTCACATCGGTTTGTGTAGCATTTAAATTGTTATGGGTTAATGACTAGGCCATGAAGGCAAAAATGTTTAACTCTCCTTTGCCAAAACAGAAACAATCCCTGTTCTGACTCCTGTCCAGTTTCCAAAAAAAACAAAACATACATACACCTGTTATTGCACATCTTTCACACAGACTTGTGTATGTATAATATACATATATATATTTTAAATATGCTACACATAAAAAAAGGCTATGGCACTTTACATGTTTAACAAAGATCATTACACCACAGATGTTTGAAAACTATACAAAAATCCTTACACAATGTAACAATTGTTGAATTAGCACACAGGTTTAAAAGAAATCCACAGAATCCAAGGCAAGTATTTCTGCCTTCTTGGAGTTCATTGAGAAGCCCAGCCCATCACAAAACTTTAAGCGCAGATGCAGGCAAAAATAAATAAGACTTTTCTGGTAGTAGTAATGGCCCAGGTGTATTAAATTTTTAGATTGAGGTGATTAGGTGATTGATATTTATTAGGAAAATGTGGTTCAACAATCAGTCCAATTATTTAACCTATGTCTAATACATTCCTCATATTCAGTGGTTTTTAAAGAGCTATACAGTTTTGGTGTAGACTAGCACGATTTTAAGGTTTCATTTTTCCCAAAGCCTGGCTAATGGATGGAAGGTTTAAAAGGTCCAACATTAGTTCTTACTCTGTCTCTGCTACAGAAATTCCATCTCTGCTCTGCTTTTAATTCAGTGTTTAAGTACTTTGTAGTGGTTTGGGGTGATGCGTGTATATGTGCTTTGTTGTCTGTAGCATTCGGACTAATGGGATAAAAACACTGTCGGGTGAATTACTTCTGGCCAAGAGAAGTAACGTTTTCACATGTGACTACTGTTTTATCAGGTGTTCTGGAGCTACCCCACCACCTTAGCCAAAGAGCGGTCTGGGAATAAAGATGATGGCCATTCTCAGAAGATTCTCAGGGCTTAGGACTTTAACTTGTCTGTGAAAAGGGAGTTAGAGAACCCATTTCCTAACACTGATTTTGGAGCCAATCTGCTGATAAAAGGAATCCCCCTTGGCTGCTGTTTTTTGGAATAAAAATTATTGCTAAGGGTTAAAAAGTAGTGACTTTGGGCACTGGAAGTTGGTTAGAGCATAAAAATACACAGCAGGGATAGGAACCCTGTCCTTCGGCTTCCATACCCTATTTCTGTGTGGTGTTAGGATTAATGTTTCCTGAGCCCCTACAGTAGGCTGCTATAAGGCTATTTACTCCTTCTCTTTTCAAAACAAAACAAAACAAGGTTATAGGACTTAAATCTTGCTTATTCTGAACTTCGGTCTAAGAATGGTGAACCAATTAAGGCCTGGTTCTACACCACCACCCCTCCTGCCCTTAGCTCTTAATCTGTGTGATAAGATGGTTTGTGGTATAGGCCAAAGGCCAGAAGGGAATAAAACTTCAGTTGCCCCATTCCATCTACACATAAAGCAACTGTCTGTTTTGCACCAAGGCATGGTTTTAGACTCAGCCTGGATATGATTCACTATGGGCAGTGTTGTAAAATCTGAATCTGGTTTCTGTGCCGGGTGGCCCTTAGCATACAATACCTTACCCAAAGAAGGTACTAAGTCATTATTTGTTAAGCTTTTAACACACAGCAAGCTCTCAGGGAACAGATTCATAAGCCCAAATAGTCCTGTACTTTTAATTCTTCCAGAAATCTCAGGGGTCCACTCCACTTGCTTACACTATGTAAGGAGTGTTTCTATATCATTCTGCAATTCTGAAGCTCTGGGTAATACCAGCTAGGTTCTTGCCACTGAGATCATTCCAAAGTAAATTTGAGGTGGTGGCTAATACCATTTTTCTGAATCAATTTTACTGGCAATTCATAGAAACCAGATTTTAAGTTCCTGAATCCCTTTTAATAGTGGTGTTCCATTCTTTTTGTAAACAGGCATAGGCAGGTGCTAGGCACTCTTGTTGTTGCATTAAATTTCTACTCTGTACTTCTCTGGGTATGAAGGTTTGATGCAACTCACCTACTGAAGTAATTTAATGTTGCAGTCTGCTTTCAGAAATAACACTAGTAACTGGAGAAACTTAACTCCCATGACTAGCTCCTTTTTTCCTGCAAAGAAGGTCATTCTGCACTGCTGGGGTTGGAAATATAGCTGACTACCACATGGTTACCAAACAGTGGGAGAAGGTCTCCCCACAAGTGCTGAGATTCTGGTAAGTTCTCCCAGTGAACGTCTGAATGAGCCACAGTTGGCTTGGAGACCTCTGTTCCTGGAATGAGGAAACAGGGTGAGGTTTCCTTTTGGCAGTCTAAGCTCGATCCTAACCCTAGGAGAAAAACACAGGATCTCCTTTAGACAAGGAGACTGGACCAGTACTGGTGCTAGCCTGACTGCTGGGCAGTACAATGAATTTGTCTTCCCTAGCAGGATTTTTGACTTTCATTCCCATGATCATACCGGTCCTTATTCTTCCCTTACTCAGATTTCTAAAATCTTGGAGAGACAGTTCAGTCAGTCCAACCCTACCCCGGAATTCAGCCTAGAGCATGTTCCACAATGGGATTCCACACTGACCTGCTGACCCCTCTGGTCATATTATGCCCTCGAGCACATAAGCTATCCCCTGTAAGTATGCAATCTTCATTTTAGTCTCAGAAGAACAACTAGAGGAGACCAAAACTCCAACCCCAAAACCTCATTCTGAGGCAGGGATGCTTACAGACATGCACCCTGGTGGCAGAAATACATTTCAGAATAAACTGCACATGTAGCTCTGGCCTCCTGTTGCCAGACGAACTGCTGCCCTGATGGTTTAGATCCTTCCCCTTTACGAGCCCTGGAGAAGACAGAGTCGGACATACTTGTCAGCTGTGTGTCAGGGTTCGTGCAGTAGTTTCGTATTCTACCTCCGAGAGTTTGAACTGCGGCCCTCGAGTGCAATCACTTAGCTGGATGTTGCCCCGCACTGGTCCTGTTAAGGCTTGGGGCCGTGGAATGTAGGCTTTGGTAGATAAAGGCTAGTTCTTCACCTGACTCAGACGATGAAACCAGAGGAGCACTGTTTCACAAGGTTACCCAGGAGGAAAATGGCCTCTCGGTCTCTTCCAAACTAAAGGAGGCAGATAAGGTTTTTCCCCTCTTCGATTTCTTCCTGTACTTTGTCACTGGAGGTTGCAATTTCTGCTTGGGCGGAGAAGACAGCACAGATGAAGGTGAGGACCGTGCCCCCGATGGCGGTGTAAAAGGCCCAGCCCAAGGAGCAGTCTCCGGGCTTATAGGCTGACGCATAGTGTCCACAGTAGCCTACGGCCTTTGGGCAGCCCCAGCCGGCCGGGTAGAGTATCAGACCCAGGATCAGGAACAAACCTGTGAGGCACGAGAGAAAACAGGTGAAACCCCCTGGCTTTACGGTGTACAGCGAGTAACTGGAGAGGCTGGAACTGCTCCTCCTCTTTCCCCGGCCCTGGGCAGCGGCATCTGTGGGGTAGGAGCGTCAGGGACTGTCCCATGCAACTAATCTGACCCAATCAAGAAATGCCATCATTTTCATAGCGGTATACTAGCCTCTTTGGTGGAGGTTGGAATGTGAATCCATTAATAGTCTGTCTTCTAGAAAAGCAAATTAAACCTGTTACTATTTCTTCCCACAAAACTCTTATCACAGTGAGCATTTCCCTTTTGGTCTAAGGCAGAGGCTGGCAAACTAAGGCCCCCACAAGTGAAATTGGACTGGGCTCTATAAAGTTGTTTTTCTTTTAAGATTTTATTTGAGAGCAAGCAAATGAGCGCAAGCTTGCCAGGGGGCAGTGGAGCGGGGGTGGGAGAGGGAGAAGCAGGCTCCCCACTGAGCAGGGTGCCTGAAGTGGGGCTCGATCCCAGGACCCTGGGATCATGACCTGAGCCAAAGGCAGATGCTTAACCGACTGAGCCATGCATGTGCCCCTCTGAATAAATTTTTATTGAGATGTACCCCATGCCCATATGTTTATGGACTTTGCCTATGGCTGCTTTTGTGCTGGAACAGCTGTAAGAGGATGGCTTATATTTTATGTGGCAGGAGAAAATGACACCTAATATAAATCAAGATTGCTAACTTCTTCCCCCCCACCCCAAAAGCTGTTTTTTTAGATACCTTGAAGTAGCAATTCTATCCTCCTAATTTAATCGTGGTTCTAAATTCTCTTTTCCTACCTTTACTGAAGTTCTCCAGGTTTACCACACCAAAGCTTCAAAGTTACAGGCACGCTCCCACAAAAAGAACATGACTGAACCTGTGGTAGTATTAGGCTTGAAGGATGATCCAGGACAGGGTTTCAGTCCACAGATCACAGCTCTCTTCATCTTACGATGGCATCTTCTTGCCAGGCCTGGCAGTTCAGATCTGATTTTCCCTACTTCCCAAATTGCCTTAGGGAACTTTCTAGCAGGGATGGAATATAGGAAGTGGTTCATATGTTCACTGTCTGAAGAAGAGTGCTTCCAAAAAGAAGTCTTTCTAACCCTGTAATCCTTTATTTCTGCATAGGTCAGAGAGCTGGGCAGCAGGTAGGGAAATGCACTCCAGGGTCAGAAGTGAAAGGACAGCTGACTGAGGCATCCCAGAGGGACGCTGTTAGAAAGGACTGGGAGCATGGAGCTAATTCCCCCAAGAATTAGACTCCCAGTGGAGAATGTGTTGGTACTCTAGAATATGCAAGGTTTCAGCAGACTTGCTAAGAGTGGGTTGGTTAGTAGTTAAGAGCTCTGAGGTAAGGAATCCAAGCTCTTGCCATTTATGAAGTGGGTGACCTTAGGAAAGTTTCTTAACTTGTCTGGGTATGATTCTTCACCTGTAAAACTGGCTACTCCTTAACTCCTAAAATGGTTATGGATATTAAAGTGTGTAAAAACATATATAGTCTGTAACAGTAACAGCCATAACAAAACTGGAACATAGACTAGCAACTGGTAATAGGTTAAAGCCTTTGGCAGACCACTCCCATATGTAAACACAAGCAGTTTAAAGTTTACCATTTATGAGTAAGCAAATCAGGTCTGTTTTAAGGGTATATTTTGAAAGGTGTAATAATTTGGGGAGAGGGGAGAACCCAAGCTACAATTTAATATCCTTGGAAAAATAAACTCTTCTCCATCTGAACATACCTTACTCAGCTGGGGAGATCTAAATCTACTCAGCTAATTCTTCTGTATTTCTAAGGCCTATGATAAAGCTTAATTAATTCCCATCTCCTTCCCTAGGAAACCTCATCCAACCGAGGTAAATGGCCCTTTGGTAGTCTCCTCCCTCAGGTCCTCAGTTACCACCCTGGGAACAGCGAGGTAGCATCCCTGGGACTTCTGGAAGGATTCAGAGGCACTCTCTAGCTCACTGCCTCTCCTGTCAAGCTCTGGTGCCTGTCCCAGTCAAGGGAGCATTAGCTGTTTGTCCCTTTAAAAGCCCAGAGTGTTGGGTGCCTGGGTGGCTCAGCTGGTTAAGCATCTGCCTTCAGCTTGGGTCATGATCTCAGGGTCCTGGGATTGAGTCCCAAGTCGGGCTCCCCGCTCAGCGGGGAGCCTGCTTCTCCCACTGCCTCTGCCACTCCCCCCTGCTTGTGCTCTTTCTCAAATAAATAACACTTTTTGATTTTTTTTTTTTTTTCAAATTTATTTGACAGACAGATCACGAGTAGGCAGAGAGGCAGGCAGAGAGAGAGGAGGAGGCAGGCTCCCTGCTGAGCAGAGAGCCCGATGCGGGACTCGATCCCAGGACCCTGAGATCATGACCTGAGCTGAAGGCAGAGGCTTTAACCACTGAGCCACCCAGGCGCCCCAAATAAATAACACTTTTTAAAAAGATCAGAGGATTCATATTTAAATTGTCTCCAATTAAATATTAATTGTACATGAGGTGCCTGGGGTCCTGTGAATAAGGACAGCAGGGAGACTTTCAATAACCTAGAGTTTGTCCAAAGCTTCAGCTTGAATATTTATAAGCTCACAAGGGCAGTCCATGTGGGAGGTTACTAAAATGTGGGCTAGTGTGTCTGCAAGCCCCAGTGGACGTGATCTGTGCTGATACACAGGCAGCCAACCTAGACAAACACCAAGACTGCCTTCTCCAAATCTGCAGCGGGTCAGTGGGTCAGAGGGAGGAAACTGTCCCTGTCTACCTTGCTCTAGCTGGTGACCTCTCCTCCCAGCACTCAGCAGAGTTGTCATTAACACCACTGACACCATGAAAATGCAAGACCTACGTCTCAGTGAGAGAAAAAAAACAGTGGGCCTTCAGGTGAGCAAAAATAATTTAAAAATATTTTTCATCTTTCTAGTATTTAGACAAAGGCTATCTACCGAAGGAATTCCAGTAAGTTTAACAATTCAGGTTTTCTTTCCAGCAACTGCAAGAGTCCTTACCTTGCAACGTCCTGATTCCACTGCTCTCAGGCCCAGTGCAGCTTATGAGCAGCCTGGGCAGTGGTAGTTCCTGGGCCCTAATAAGCTTTCCTTAGTCATCAAACACTACCTGAACAGAATAATTTTGCTTCTTAGTAAAAGTGAGAAAAGAAAAAAACCATTAAATTTCCCCAACTCAGGGTAAAATCCAATCTTTTCTTTGTCTCATGGCCTTCAAAGCCCTATGATCCGGCTCGCTATTACCTATGCAAACTCACCTCTGCCATTCTCACCTGTGCTCTCCACTCCTGCCTTCTACTAGCTAGGGGACTTTTCCTTCCACACAGTACCAGCCGCGCTCGGGCCTTTGCTCTTTCTCTCACCTGCAGTACTTTCCCTCCAGACAGCTTTTAGGCCACATTCAAATGCCACGTTGTAGGGGTGGTCTTCCATTCCACTCTACTTAAAATTCAATCACCTACCTCCTCCCCCTTTCCTTGCTTTATTTCTCCTTAGCATTTATGACCAACAGAATATATCTGAGTCATATGAAACTTGCAATATTTGACCATTTTTGACCTATAAAAATGGACATATCCTATAGTTCAACCTCCTGCTTTACATCTTTGGTTATCCATCTCTATCCTGACTTGAAACTCCATGACAGCAGGGGTTTCTGTACTATGCATTTACCACTCTAATGCCAGTACTCAGAAGAGGGCTTGGAACAGAGTTAAACCCATCATAAAATCTCCAAACCACAGTGTCCCCCGTGAAAACCAGTAAAATAACTTGACAGATACCAATCAATGAGAATGAAATTTGTCAGCAGGAAAGGAAGGAGAGACTCTCAGCTGGCTGCTCTAGCCTGTCACACTGTCCTGTTCCAGGGCTCTGAATCCCAGTGTTTAGAAGCAAACTTATGCCCTGAATTCCAAGTAGGATTAATGACACCAACTAATGAGACAAAACTGAAGTCTTAAATAGGTATGTCAAACAGCAGGCATTAGAATATAGTCAGACATAACAAGTCTGCTACAAACTTAGCATGGTTTCTCTGGTTCTCAGTCTGCAGTATACTCAGGGACTCTCAGCATGGTTGTGGGTTACAGCTGGAGACCAAAGGGAAGGTGAAGTGTGCTCTGGATTAAATTTCACATAGAAGCCAAGCCAGAAAATGGTCTGATCTTCCTATGTACTTATTAAAAAAGTAGTTTCTGAAGTTAGGCCAGCCTGTAGTGAATGGTCTCTGGGGTCTTTCCACCACCTTGCCCTAATGCAGTATTGTTTTGGGAGGGGGACATCACTGACAAAGTAAGCGACTTGGCCAGTCAGCTTTGGCTTTTCTGACGGGCATCTCTTCCCATGTGCCTGATTAAGCAACAGTTGGCCCAGCTAGGAGGAAGGAAAGCAGGGAGAGTGATACTGGCCACAGCCCAAAGAAAATCGTCACCAGCGAAAGAAACAGTAAGTGACTCAGAGCTGTGATAACCTCTGCCATGGGTCTACTTGCTGGGATGGCACCCCAGAAGGTACCCTCTGCTCATCATGGGGTCGCGTGGGCATGACAGCCTTACCTGGGAAAGAAAAAAAATGAAGAACTGATAGTTACTTGGAGTACCTGAGATGCCACCACTGGCTGGAGACACAGTCCTGTTGACCTCGATGAGGCTGGCCATGTGAGGTAGACACCAGCTATCACAATGCAGTGCCCCCCGTGTCTCTGTGCAGTTTTAATAACATTTTCCCCTGAGCTTTCAGACTCAACCCCAGATTCTTGGCAGTTCAATCTTACTGCACAGGAATCTTCAGCCTCTGTGGACAACCTAAGCATGTGGTTTGGATTTAACTCAAATAATTAGACTCCATGAGCTCCAAAAGGGCAGAAACTATGTTTTATAGCATTTCCAGTGTCTAAAACTTAGAAGGTTAAAAAAAAAAAAAAGTACCAAGAAAGATAAAGTCTTAGTCCTCTTGCTTTGTGGTCCACATTT